ATAGTAAGTTGATTTAAATTAAAGGACTTTCACAAAGGCTGAACTCATCAGCTTCTTTCCATATCTGGCTGCTCTCAGGGGTTGCTGGATTTAAGCTGAGGCCAGTAATAAGATTTTTTTTTTTTATTATTTTAACAGCTATATTTTGAAGAACTATGACATCCAGTATTTTTCCATGAGGGATATTGATCGCCTTGGAATTCAGAAAGTTATGGAAAGAACATTTGAACAACTGATGGGCAGGTAACAAACTATTATCTGATTTAAACTACTCTTATCAATCATCCACTTGTTGCATATCTACCTTGCTGAAAGTTACTTAAGTGAAGGTCGCTCTTGACATAAAGCAGCCTAACAGACTGTGACAGTGTCCAGTAAATAGTGAAGTCTTAGCACTGACTTCAGTCCTCAACTTCCCCATTTTGAACTGGAATAATTTCACAGTGTTTCGCAAAAAGCTATGAGATAGGTTGCCTTAGTCACTACAATTGTGGCTCTGTTTTACATGATTTGTTCTGTTTCTTGAGGAATTCTGCATTTTGCTGCAGTTTGACAAAATGTTTGAATCAACTTGGAGTCTAGGATATACATTGCCCTTTTAAAAATACATGTTGCAACAAACAGTAACTTAAAGTCAGCTGTTAGTGCACGAGGTAGAAGCATTTGATGGCTTCCTCCTCAGATGATGCTCACATACGCTGTCCTGATGACAGCTGCCACTTCTGTGGCTTCGCTGTAACCACGCCCTTAGGTGGTTATGTCTTTGCCAGCCTTGTTCAGCTTTGCTGAAACAGATCAGGGAGCAAATCGTGCCGGCCTAGGGCCACAGGGAGAGCATCAGAGTGAAAAGGGTAACCTCTCACCTCAGGGTGGGACAAAGTCCTGTAAGTAGAGTGAGGCCTGTGTATCTCTGCTGCGCGCTGGTGTATCTGAAGGTGCGCTCACCCTTCCTAGCTGCAGCAGCACCAAGAAGTTGCTGATCCAGATGCTTCTCCCTACTGAGCATCTGCAGCAAGTCAGAAGTACGCAGGCTACCACCTAAATAGCTCATCTGAGTGACAGGGAGCATTCAATTTATTAAGCTGTCATGGGTTGCCAGGCTTCATGCAGTAAGTAGCTAACGATTCAGGTTTGAGATTGTCCTTCACTTTTTCATAGGCTTATGTGGCAGAGTTTAGAGGCAGCCTTCAAGTATTGACCTGAAAAATGTAGAATGCATGATGAGCTGTCTATGAAACCCTCAAGCTTGGTGCTTCCTCCATCCTAGATGCCGTGTAAATCAGTGTTTCGGCCTTTCACCCTGGCTTTCTGTACAATGGAAGGAAAGGCTGGATTATATCATACATTTCTCTGCATCTTTGCAACTAAGGAGACAAATGCCAGATAAGATGGTCAGAACTAAAATATGTCTCTTCAGCCAAATCACACCTGAGCAGATGTTCAGTGAGCCTAGAAAGACAAACTTGTTTTCCCAATGTGTACCAGGGAAAGTTCTGAGCTAAGAGAGATTTCAGAGTCCAAAGATACTAAAAACATAAAAAATCCTTTCCAAATATATGTAACACATGGTATGGGACTTAGACCCTTTAGCATCATGGAGCATGATGCTACTTTGCTGATCAGCCTGGATGGTAAGGAATACATGTAAAAAAAGGTCAAAGTTCTGAGGTTGCTTTTCTTGTTTTATTCTGTTCCAGGAGACAGAGACCAATTCACCTGAGTTTTGACATTGACGCTTTTGACCCCTCACTGGCTCCAGCAACGGGGACCCCCGTTCTAGGTGGATTAACGTACAGAGAAGGGATGTACATCACCGAGGAAATCCACAACACAGGTAGGAGCTGACCAGCAGTACTGGACTAAGCGAGGGCAGGACACACTACACTGAGCTCATACTGGTTATGTTGTTCCTGTGTAACTAGATAAATAGATAAAGGCACTCAAACTTCAGGTGCCTACAAAGTCCATTCAGCCTTGAGTAAGGGAGAAAAAAGTCCTATGGTTGGGCAGTACCCCAGGTGCTGGAAGCAGCTTCACCATCAACAACTTCAGCTTACCAAAAGTAAATAAAATACAGAATTTTTGGCATTAGGTGTCCATATATTACTTGGTCATCTTGTATAATACTGTCCTCTATGCCTAAATGCATGAGGTCAGATGTAAAAATGGACAGCTGGAATTCAAAAATGGATACAAACAATTTTAAACAGTTCCAAGTTCCATTCTAGGATTCAAGGCTAGCAAATCAAGCTGTCCATAAGTCTACTGCAGTTGACTCAATATATGAGGAATTTCCTCCTTATACCTTGGGGGGTTTATTTAATTTGTTTAAACAATGCGTTATTTGCCCTAAAAGTTGGTAGAGGAGCTAAAAAATCCCAACTAAATAACCAACCAGGCAACAAATTCAATAGAATCATGAACAGGGTGGCAAAAAATAGTAGGTGAGACTGTTTTATCTCCCTTAATTTTTAGACTGAGAGAAAACAAGAGTAAAAACCATTTCTCTCGTAAGTCTATATGGAACAAACTTGGGTTTCCTGGAATGCTAAAAGCATGGATGAGTGAGGTAGTGACAATGTAAGAAAGAACCCAATTAAAACACAAACTTGCATCTAGGACTGATAATCTCCCCCCTCACTTGAGAGCCAATTTTACTTGCCTAAGGGGTCGAGTAGGTCACAAGCTCGAATTTCAGACTTGCTGCAGTGAGTGAAAGGCTGCAAAAGAACCCCCCCTACTAGCAACGTTACCCTTTTTCATAGTAACAAAGCTGTACATCATTTTCCCAGGAATGCTTTCAGCTGTAGACATGGTTGAAGTCAATCCCCTGCTTGGAGCTTCGCAAGAGGAAGTGAATGCCACTGCTAGTCTTGCAGTTGACGTGATAGCAACGTGCTTTGGGCAGACAAGGGAAGGGGCGCACACCGCTTTTGATGAACTCCCAACACCCAGTTCTCCAGATGAATCTGACAGCGAAGAGCAAGTGAGGATTTAGGAACCCACAGTGTTGGGTATGCTGGACATTACAGAGCTCTGCTGAGGCACTCGAGCAGAGAGATCGTCAACACTTGGCAAATACTGTTAACTTCTCAATTTTTAAATAAACTAGCTTTTCCACTGAGCGGTGGCTACTTTATTACATACCAAGATTTATTCATTTAGTTATGTATATACAAATAGAGACAATAAAAGATTTATTACCTTCTTATTAATCTTACCAGTAGTTCAAGTCTGTCTCTGCATTTTCCTTTTACGCCCAATCTAGTGTCAGTACCGTTCCAGCGGAACACGCTGTCTCCTGAGACAGTTCAGCCCTCAGACAGTCAGAGGGAACAGACACCCCATCCCGTTCCTCAGCAGCGGATAAGCTCATCTCACTGGGTAAGATTCATCTGCTGCGGAAGAACTTGTAGTAGACCACGCCTCCGAGGATGGCTAGTTCCAGGATGATGATAATTGACAGCAACAACTTATTAGTGGTTACCCTGGAGTTAAAAAATAAAAAAATATCCAGGATAGGGTTTTTTTTTTCCCTTGATTGTGAAAGCAGATTCTAGATAACGTGCTCACCATCATACCTTCAGTAAGGGTACTCCCTGGTTCTGCTAGACCACGCCGTGCTACTCAAACAGCTCTTAACAAGCAGGAGGGGACAAACTCCATAGTTTCCTACTTCTGTTTTCCTGGAAATTCTGCTTAAATCCCATACGTCAGCAGCAGCAGTTCTGTTCCTCATCCCCCACCCCACGTAAGGCAGATCATTCTGCTCTACGCGTGCCACCTCATTCGACTGAGCAAAGAGGAAAACATCAGCTGAACTCCCGCCCTAAAACCCACCTTGTGGTGCTTTGAAGTAAACCTATAAAATCTCAAAATAACAACGTACTTTTACTGTTAAAAATTATACAGTTATCCTAACTTCCTTTAGCAAGGGGTATAAAGGAAAGGTTGTTGGGCCAGAAGGCCCTACTGGAAATATACTCCATGAACTGGTTTCTAAGGATAATTAAACCATATAGTTAAGAAACTATAAATACACTTAAGCAGCCAAGGCTTCAGTCATCAAAACAGTGTTATGGTCAGGCTTGGAGTTTCTCATGCGACTCTCTGGCTGCTCCAGGGCGTCGCCATGGGCTGAACAGACTTGTCTGTGCCATCAGACATCTGAATCACTTCATGCTGCAGTGATTTGTGGCACAGCTTTTTCCAACCTGCGTCACAAGAGCTGCACCTGAAGTTACCGTTAGCAACTCCCTGTACCTCGCTTATGCCCAAACCCCTCCCCTCACCGCCGTTCATCATGCTGCCTGGTTAAAGACCCCGCATTATCCTAAGTGAGCAGCACAAATTCAGTAGTGGTAACTACCTGTATGCCATGAAACAATTACCAGAGAAGAGCGCACACAAATTAGCACCTGCACGTGGGCACATGTTCCCTTTACACATTCCCTAAAAACCTCCCTGCAGCAACAGCTGACGCTCTGGTTTTTCCCTGCAACCGGCGGGCAACAACGGTCCCTGCCGAGCGCTGCGCTGTGTCAGTCACGCCACTCACCTCCTGGACATAGAACGGAGAATCTTGCGACTCTTGCTCAAGTTTTCACTTGTGTTCACCAACTAAGAAGAAACAGAAGTCATTTGCCAGTTGAACACGTATACAGCGACTCTGTGAAGATGCACCTGGAAGCAGCTGGTGCTGAAATACTGCAATTAATAGTGGGACCAAGCCTAACCATATATTCTCAAAATTCAGAGACAACACTGTTCTCTGTGCACAACACAAGCTGGAAGCATGGTCTCCTTTCTAAGGAGGAAATAGGACTTTCACATACGCCTTCCCTTAGATACATACAAAGACAGGCAATTTAGGATCGCTTTCTGCCCCTTTAGCTGATCTACAAATCTCAGAAAGTCGGTATTGGCTCCTCTCATTGAATTTCATTTCATTATTCTAGTTGTTGACACCAGAAGAAAATGGCACGGCCGTGCTCTCCCCGGTACATTTCTGGAACTGTCTGAACTGCCGTTCTATTTCTAGCAAAGAAAGAACCGTGTTGCGCTGACAGGTCTAAGCGACCCAGTGGAGCTGAGCTCTGAACTGTTAATAGATAATCCATTTCAGCTTTGTAATGCTCAGGAATCAACTGTCAAGTATTTTTCAGTCAGCTATTAAGAAACACATAATTAAGTGAGGTTATGGACACCTAAAAAACCTGTTGTCTCACAGAGTGTAGGGATTCACGCTGTGTGGCCGCTGGAGGACTCCAGGTATGATCTCGCTATTCTACTTCCAAAGCTTCTGGGGAAGTGAAAGGTAAGCCAGGCCGCTCTACCTTCTCAAGTGGAAAACTGCCGAGCCTGTTCAAAGCGTACTAGATTGCCCGTCTTTGCTATGAAAGACCAAGCAAGAAGCAAGCCTGCTTCTAGTTGGAACGCGCATTTAACGCAACTCAGCACTACAGTGCTTGAAAGGCTCACAATAAAAGTCACAGCTTCACGAACCAACTGTGGACAGACCGATGTGCTCAAAGGACTGTAATATTTTTAATTAGAAAAAAAACAGACATAAACTACGCCTAAAAATCCTAAGATCACATTTCCTTTCCTGCTCACCAACCCAAACTTGGGAGCAGGGCAAATCAAAATCTGACTGAAATTGAAAAACTATTGAAATGGAACAGCTACAGGCTTTGTCGCAGTGAGCAGAGAGAACTCCCACGAAAAGGGCTATGGCTCTTCTTGTGGCTGAGCGTGCACACTTACTTACAGAACTCTGCGTCCCCCTGCAAGCCAACTCATCTAAAAGCTTTACACTCAGAATCCCTTGTACACACAGGAATCCCCAGCAGTTTGGTACTTCAAAAAAATCAAATGAACTACTACTTAAAGCTTCCACAGTAGAAGCAGAGCTTCTTGACCCAAGGACAAGGAACAGGCATCTTGTCTGACACCACTTCCTCCCTCCTTAGCTAACGGATGTTGGAAGGTTAGCAATTAAGTAATTAAGCTTCTATTAAATTTCATTTCATTAGAAGAACTTGCTAACCACCTCCCAGAGCTAAACCTTTATTAATCACCTAGTGGTTGGCAACTCCTTAGCACTTTTTTAAATCCATAATTTTTTCAGTAATGCTATTTTTTAATTTAGCAGGGGTTTATAGGTCTAATATCCAACCTTGCACAGACACGGCAGCAGACATTTGGCCATCGTGCTTTGGGCCTTCTACAGTAATTTGTTTCCTTTTCTGAGCACAGCACAGAAACGTGGCAGCCTGGATTCGGTCTGTAGAACCATCAATGGGATTACCATCTCTAGGGAGGTCTCCGAGAGTAACTCCTGGCGCACAGTTCCCACTAAGCTAACAGCAGGTTGTTTCAATACAAGGCCCGCAGTTTCCCTGCTTACTCTGCTCTTGGTGCGTTCCAGTTGCTCCCGCTGCTCCCCAAGCTCTTCAATTATATCGGTGCCAATCTGATCTGTTTCAGCAGCAATTCGGTGCGAGCGCTCAATGCTCTGACTGGCTCGGTTCAGGCTGTCTGTTCCCTGGAGAAGCAGCACCCTCTGTGACTGCAGATTAGTCTGAAAAATAACGTCTGCTTAACTATTAAGCACAAAGAGAGAGGTATTAGGCTTCTGACGTATTAAAAAGTTAGGAGGTGACTCCACAGGCCATCCACTTGTATTAGCTGCACGTGCTGCTTATAGTAACTGAAGTAGCCCAGTTAATTTTGACAGAGTTCTTGTTTACATTCTAAGATCATGGCCAAAACTGGTTAAACCTTGAAAAAGAAGGATGCACAACTAAAGAGCTAAAACAGTTACAAAAAACCTGTCTTTGCAACAATTTACTCTTCCATCAAAGAACGTTTACATGGAAATAGTGTCTTGGCTATCCAGATGTTACCTTTTCCTTCCATTCGTATCTAAATTCAGTCTTATTTGTGCCTTCACAGTTGGTTGCCAGGGAGATCGTTAAGAGTTTACACAGTCAAAAGGATTAGGAACAAACAGCACCAACAGATGGACTGCTAAGTAACAAAGATCCTCTTTTCATGACAGTAGCCTCTGCTAAAGGGCAAGAAATGTTTGCTGACCTCGGGGTCAAAAGGTAGCTCAGAATAAAGTATTTTATTAAGCTTCAGGAAGTCTGATCTAGCACCCTGCTCTCAGGTTTTGGAGGAACCAATCAAGAGGAATCAAATGCAAAAATTTACCAAGCTGCTGCAGAATAAGATCGCAAGGAGAAAGCCTCCCTCAAACCTTCCTTATCTAAGGCAGGCAAACAAAAAGTCCACCTCCTTGAACTGTCTGTAGGGGTGACAGCACTTTGAAGACAATGAGCCGATTCGGTCTCACTAGCTCAAATGTATCTAAGCATATCTGGTAACCAAAGCAAGCGGGGCATTTCTTGCACTGTAGCAGCACATCCATAGTGAACAAAGTGCTAGAGGATGACTTCTTAGATTTTCTTGAAATTATTTACACTGAGGTTGCTCAAGAGAATTCTACTAAAGAACCTACACAGTGCACGGTTCACACACTCTGCTAGTTTTGGAGACCAAGACTAGATCAGTTACCCTTTCTTCTCAGTCATCATCGCTTTGGTGTTTTCACTGCTGTCGGGGATTAAATAAAGCATTTCAGTACAGGTTGTTGTGTAAGTTCCTAACCGCATGGTATTCAAGGACTGTGATTTGGATTACACTCATATCTTTGTTTTAGAACAGAAAAGCTCTCCTCTGAGTTCCCGCTGTTCTTCCTCCTCCCTGAGATATTCATGTTACATGCAGAGAGATACGCAGGGAGTTATACAAGCACAGAAGCTATGCGGATTAAAGTAGAAACACTGTAAACAATACATCTGGAACATTTTTCTTAAGCAATCATAGCAACGTCAAATAAAATTTATATCTAATTCTCACACTCTGTTCATTTTCTGTGGAGAAGATTCCATATTTTATATCGCCTTGACTTCCAGGGCCCAATCCCAAATCTGTGCTTCTCATCTCTCTCTGGAACATGGAAAGGTCTCTTCTGTACGCCCGGATTTTGCTCATCATTTGGTTGCGGAAAGGCAGAGGAGCATACTTCAGTTCTTCCTCCATTTCCCGCAGCTTTAAAGAAAGAAAATGTCTTTAATTTTTAAAGCACCAAAATCTGTTCTTATCAGCAGCCATACTCAGAACTCACCACCAGATGACAGGATTCACGTTTTTTAATGTCTTAAAAAGACAAGTTATATGGGGGCTTTGTGCAGTTCCATGTCACCTGCTGTCCAGGAAAGCCTGTACAATAAAGGTTTCAAATATTCAAGATCCCTGATATTTAACTGTCAGGCTATTATAGAAAGATCACGCTGGGTTAAGACCAACATGAAAAAAGGGCAGGGGGGCCAGGGGGGAGAAGAAAAATAAAATTTCTCTATATGCCCTCCCAACAATCTCTAGCAATTGCACCTCCCTCACTCTCCTTTATTCAACAAAGGGAAGGCGACAGCCAAACCAAGCACTCAAAGGAAAAATACGCATGTAAAAATATTTGTCTATAGCTATATATGTCTCTCTATATATACAACAGTCTCGACAAACACAGACACAGATCAATGAATCAAACATTAAAAAAAACCACATTTGCCTGCCAGCATAGGATCCACAGGGAGAGTAAAGTTTGGAAGTACTGTCCTTCTTAAGGGCATCAGTGTTTCAACTGGACAGAAAGGCCGGAAATCTAGACTTCTGTTTACCGTTTCATTTGCTTCACGCTGTTTCTCATCGAATTCTCGAACCAGTTTTTTCTTCTCCTCTGTGGAAGAAAACGTAGTATGTCAGATCAGCCACAGAGAAATGACAACAGAACTCAACCCATTACAGACAAGGAAGCCGTCACAGATGGCTGACTGCAGAGACACCAGGTCAAAATTTACCTCAAACAGGAACAGCTTGTTCTTACAACAACATAGCAGAAGGTGGGGGGGAGAGAGAGCAGAAACTACCCTTCCAAATGCTGGCCACTACCTCTGGTCGACAAATATTTTTCTGACCTATTATCCTCCAATCTCCGCTGACAGAATGGTGTGTTGAAAAACACTTAACATGAAAGGATAACAAAGAGGGCATGCTGGTAAATGGCTCATAAATATTTCTTATTTTTTTGCACACATCTGGGAAGATTACTGAAGGCTGAAACTACATTTTGGATTTGAACAGAACATCAAGTCCATCTACATTTCCAAGTGAGCCCTGAAGTTCCTAGCAGATAGGGCACTCTGCCTTCTCATGGTCATAAAGTAACTAGCTAGACGGGGTAAGCATTCTAGAGTACTCGGAGATGAAAGATGCCATCAAGATACCACCTTGGGTTCACAGATTAATGCCCAAATGCTTCCCAGAATGATATCACTTGTTTAATCAGCCAAAAACCCTAGACATTTTACTTGTTTGAGACAGTTGTTTGCTAAGGTCCTTGTACGTAGGGCTTTGGAGGCCAAAGAATGGGTTTCACCGCTGTTACTCTATTTTTAAACAAAACTTGAAGGTGTGTATTTTACATGTGTTAAAACACAATCACACCTCTCTAATATCCATGATCAATGAAAGCAGAATGCAGAAACTCCCGTTATCTGAATGGAGCAAAAATGCATGTTTCATAAGCTTTTGCAAAAGCATTGAAGACGACCACCAGAAGACTCCTGTAGAGTACTGCTGAACAAAACCAAATTCTGTCAGAAGTCTCCTAAATATGCACTAGCCCAATTCATCTCTCAGGAGAGAACAGTTCAGTCTTAAATAAAATTTTGGGTAGCAAAAAATGCAGACAGTCATCTTGGGAAAACTTCTCTAATTTCATTTAACTTAAAGACAAAAAGATAACATTAAGAAAACATCGTTGCAGTAAAAGACTGACTTGATTATCTTTTTGCAAATATGGCCCTCAGCAAAAGAAGCATTTTTAAACCACCGAGATCTCAACAATAGGAAAAAAATTTGAAGCAGTCAAAACATTTTTACATAGCTTCTCTCACATATATGACATGCCTAAGCTGTAGCCTTTCCCTTTCAGTTGAAATTCATGTTAAGCCCCAGAATTTGAGCTGTAGATCACAGAATGCTTTGGGTTGGAAGGGACCTTTGGAGGTCAGCCAGCCCAACCCCCTGGAGTGAGCAGGGACACCTTTAACTCGATCAGGTTGCTCAGAGCCCCATCCAACCTGGCCTTGAATGTTTCCAGGGATGGGGCCTCCACTACCTCTCTGGGCAACCCGCTCCAGTGTTTTACCACCCTCATTGTAAAGAATTTCTTCCTTATATCCAGTCTAAACCTACCCTGCTTCAGTTTAAAACCATCACCCCTTGTCCTGTCACAGCTGGCCCTGCTAAAAAGATTGTCCCCATCTTTCCTATAGATTCCCTTTAAGTACCGAAAGGCCGCAATCAGGTCTCCCCGCAGCCTTCTCTTCTCCAGGCTGAACAAGCCCAACTCTCTCAGCCTGTCCTCATAGGAGAGGTGCTTGGATCATTTTTGTAGCCCTTAGGAGACTTAAGACAGAATTAAAAGCCATCATCTAACAAGAAGCTATCCTCTCAAGTAGCACACAGAATTATTACAGACCAAGCTACACGATGGCTGTTAACACACTACACACTAGCTGCTATCAGGAAATGCAGTTTCATATCCCAGTTAATTAATTCAGGAGGAAATGCTGACTTACGAGGTTCCTAAATGCACTCTCCTCCACCTCCTCCATGATTTGCCACCATGTACATTTGTGCTGATGCAATTACTTGTGCAACTGGGCTGCACGTGAAATCATGGACGTGAACCGCAGGAAAGCAGCCTTCAGAAATCAGTATTTTGTTTCATACCAGTCCGATTTAAGCAGTGCCCTCTTAAAATAACTGCCGTCTCAAGCTAATTGAAATCTGGTGTGGCACTTCAGTAAAAAGCAGTATTTTACCTTCTTTGTGTCCCCCAAGCGGATTAAGACGACACTGCACTTATAAATGAGCAGCCGAAGAAATGCTACCTTCCAAAAGTCAAGGAGCAAAGGCTTCAGACTTTGTTGTCTATATGCCAATAAGGAAACAGGCAATGTGGCTTGAAAGCACGATACTGGACCTGGCCTAACAGAAATGCCAGAATAACATTGAGCAGCTTGATTCGTATCCCTCTGAATTAAACTGTGACACAAAGTACATTGAGAGAACTTTTTTAATGCATTAAAAGTAAGAAGTACCTAAGCTGCAGTAACATTACCCACATGCCCATCAACATTTAACTGATTTATTCCCAATCAGTTAGAAATGGATGCAGTTGAAAAGGACAGCTAACTGAATTAATGTAGAGGAAAGTATCTATAATTGAAACTGATCCAGGCTGCTTGAAGTGCCTTCTTACGAATGTGGAAGGAAAAGATTTGTTTCTAGAGCTCGGAATTTGTTACCTTGTGTATACAAAGCGAAACGGCATTTCCAGACCTCTGCCCCTCAAAGATGTCCCAAGGACTACAGAGTCCGTCTTCCCTTGAGGTTGGGAGCGTGCCAATCATCTTAAGAGAGCATGCAAGGTATCTTTTATTGCCTCCTGAAGTTTTCAGGATCAGATAACTCGAAAAGTAAAGATACACCCCCCTCCCCATATGTGCAAGAAGCACACGAAGCCCATTAGGAGAGCAGAACGCCTCCACCAGATAGACAAACTCCTGACTTATCTTAAACTCCCGTAGAAACACTTTCCAAAAATATTACCAAGATTTTTGCAGCAACAAACTTAAAGAATAGAACAGTCATACTAAAATTTCATAGCATGTCCAAAGAATCAGTTTTTGATTATTTGTAACCTGTTGGGGGGGAAAAAAAAAAAACCCAACATTGCAAAAACTGCTGCTTGTAAATGCTCCATTTAAGCCCACTGCTCAGAACCCACTGCTGAAGACCACCCCACTTCCATGGAGGCCTGACAGAGTTTTACTTAAGAAACCAGGAAACCGACCACTCTCCCTTCTACAAGGAAACAAGGATTTCCTCCGAGAAAGGGTTTTTCTTCTTTTAGTGCTTTTTATTCTTGGTGACCACTAGTGAAATTAAGCCAGCTTTGACAGCTGTCATTTGCAGGTCTGAACATCCTTCTTGTACTAAACTTCCCAGAAATGCTGAGGATGAGGACTGCGACCCTGAATTTAACTCGTTACTAAATGGAAAGCCAGGTAAGAAATGGAACATTAAGCTTTTCACAGCCTGTGTTATCGAGCAGAAACTGGTATATTCTGAACAAACCATTTTTAGGATTTTTACACCTAAACACATAAAATTGATCAGTTCTGGGAGATTGACAAGTCTATTGCAGAATGTGGCTGGCAGCCCCTACTCATTCTTGTGGCACAAAACCCATGCTGAGCTACAGCGGTTCATGATAACCGTGTGTCATGTCATACGAAGGAAGTATTTAATCAGAGATTTGGTGACACTGGTAAAATTCTCCTTGTCAGCTCACTTCCCTTTCCGGTTCTCAGAAAACTGCCAAGTATTAGGAACTGCATTAGAAGCACAATGCCAAGTCCTCCAGAGAAGTACTCTGTCAGAGTGTTCTACCCGCTGGTATGATATAAGGAATACCCACAAAATCAGATTTTGCTTCTAATATAACTTTGCGTAGCTTGATAGCTTTTTCTAGTCTATGGGTAGGTAGCGCACAAATGGTCATTTAAAATGCAAGTCTTCTCCAGTAAGTCTACAAATGCGTGTGGACAGCTGCGATAATAAAAACTGCTTTTAATTCTGTTGCTCGAGATTTTTAAAGAGTCAGACAATGACCAAAAAAAAAACCCCCCCACCAAACCCCCCAAAGCGCTGCAGTTTAGGCAGTTCACCTAGAAACTGCATGAAATAACATCCAAATAACAACTCCTCCTCAGAGACAGGACTGAAGCCGAAAGCCCAGCCCAGCGGTGCGTGTGTATGGAGTTGCAACGCACCAGGCAAGAGGAGCTGCTCTGGAGGAGTAAAGCCACACACCTGCCTCCCCATACCTGCCTGTTTGGGGCTTTGCACGACCAGGTCTGACACTCAAGAGCAAAGCCACCGGCACACAGCAGCAACTGAAAAACACGGCTCGGTGAAGCCAGACCTAGCAAAGCCACCCGCCCCCTCCGAGGGGCCGGCTACCGAGAGCGATGCCCTGAATTTCTGCAACGGCCTGGGCACACGCCT